CGGACGTTCGAGGGAAATGGCCAAGGAAGTGCGGTCACCTCTTGCCAACAGTCGCCGCGGCGCCAAGCACACACTAAGCCAAACACGCCCAAGGATTCCCCAGCCACCCCCTTCCTACCATTCCCAAAAGGCGTCCCAGGACCCGTCCCCCGCGGCAGCACCCTTCCCAAACCGCGGCGGCAGTGCGCGGCGTCGGTAGTGAAGGCCGGTGGTCTGCCTTCCCTCCCCTCCCGCTCGCGTACACTGTGAACCCGGTAACCTGCCTCCCCCCACCCCCACCTCCTGCCCTGGTAACAACCCGGTCTGTCTCCGCCTCCTCTTCCTCCCCACCCCCTGCGGCATCCTCCCCCTCACTCGGCCGAATTCAGGTTCCCTCTTTCCTTCCCTTCGAAACTTCACCTCTATTGCTCCTCCCCGTTTGTCCTCGTTTCTATATCCCTCTCCCGCCCTTGTTTATTTTCCTGCCTAGCACGCCCACAAGGCATCCGCCCAAGCACAAGGCACTGTCACAGTCGGTGAAACGCACTTGGCCGGGCAGACTAGCCGGAGGGGACGCTGTCGGCAGGAGGCAGCCAAGATTCGAACAACTTCATCAATGCTGCTCTGCAATAACGGAATCACCTATGAATATGCAAAAGAGGCAGAGGAAGTGAGGAAATGCATGTTGCACATATGTACAAATACACACACACACAATCCATATTAAGGACAGATACCAACACCATACATACCTAGGGAAGGATACGGAGAAAGAGAGAAAGAAAGAAAATGATACACCAGTACCTGTGCTACGGCGTTCTCGTTCGCAAAGGCTAATCAAGCTTTACAAGGTGTAGTACTGGAACGTTTAACACAGAAAATCACAGAGGAGGATTTATATGAAGTTAGACGCTGAAGATAAGAGCAGAGAACCCACGAATATTCTGATGAGGGGAGTGGGCTATATATCATATACATAGTTCAATTCTCTTGTTCCCTCAGCACCTCTCCTGTCATTCGAAGTTTATACGATATAATTGGAAAGATGGGAATCCGAGGCAACATGAGGCCAGAGAAAGAAGTGGGGTAAGACTGCGGATGTCAAGAGCAGACGGTTCATAGGATACAAAAGAAGGAGGGGGAAGGGGGGTGAGAAGGGAGAGGAGGGAGGCGGGGACAAGTAGGGGCAGGGTTTCTTGGTTGTCACGCTCCGAGGCTATCTTCTTCACTTCCTCCTCTACAGGTTTGCTTCACATGCACGCACAAACCTGAGTATGCATATAAATAATAAAAAGTCCATCCAAACAAGCGCGCCCGGAAATGAGCGATGGCGTCGCAACCCGTCCCGGGAATGTCGTCATCCACAACCACGCAGGCGCGCAAGCACACGCGTTTCGATATGGGATGTTTGTGTGTGTGTGTGGGGGGGGGGGGGGGCTCGCAACAATTCGAGCACTGATGCGAAGAAAGGTCAGACCTTCAAAATGCGTCTATTGAGTTCCGTCAAAAGTTTTCGCACGTACAAGGACCAGGCGGTGTAGCAAATGTTAACAAACAAGCATTAACAACCGACCGACTCTGTCGCTTACACATTGCCTGGCTGAGCTGCAGTCCCAGTTCAAAGATTTAAAACTGCCAAGTGCCAATATCAACAGCAAAGCAGTTTAAAATAATTGCTCGACAGTTTCACCAGACCTACTTGCTGATATTATTTTAACATTAGATAAAATTAAAAAAGCGATTGTGATTGTTTGTTATTGAAACAGATGTCTCGGAAGTTTACCATAGGCAATCCTACTAAGATTTCTGCTCCCGCCACAGAGAAACAAAACACCGAATAAACAGTAATGTGCCCAATGCATTACTCAAGCAAATTAACAATCAAAATCCCCCGACAGAAACCACGCGCTATCCCACGCATTGCTAAACGTCAGCTCAACAGGTAAACAACTGGCAGAATCACCCTAGTATGACTTTAAACTGATATCTTCCTGAGTTCTCACCATGCAAACGGCCAAGCTCACTGATAAGTTGAGTGTAACTTAATTACTCTATTGGACCTCAGTCGAATTGCCACATCATGTAAGCACAACGCCACATCCTGTTCTTCGTGAGTACGTGTAGGCCCGCGCGTGAACGTTCTGACAGGATGGATCTGGTGGCCACACCTGCCTAAGGTTGCGTCATGTGGTGGTAGAATATCAAGTCGATAAAATTCTTAGAAAAAGTTCATGTCTGCCATCTGTACTGCCGAGACTCACGTGCTATTATAACGCCTAGTATATCTCTGTAGTTTTAATCAATAAAAAATATCCGAACCACATCAAAAACAGCTCATGGTAAGCCTAAAACCATATAATATCTGTGAATAACATTCTGCTTCCTTGTTTACCGTACCCACATACAGACCATCCGAAAACACCTCGTTTATTTACCACGACTGCTTTAACTATATTGGCTCCTTAATATGGTGTAAATATCCAAGTCCAACCAGTTCTAACCTACAATCACTCGTCAAAATTACATGAGAACAAACAAAACCTCGTACTGTATCTTCCCCCGTCTTGGCGATATTTTCTACCTATTCTTTAACTCGAACTAAATATTACCACAATCCAACATGTCTAAACAACTACAGCACGCCATTAGATACTTCAACTTGGGACGCAGCGTTAAAGCAACACCAACAAAGCCAATGTGACTTCCTTACCTTTCAAGTTACAAAACGTCAATGCAATCTTCGTCTCTCTCGAAGTGAGTGTTAACACGTCTTTAATACGACAGGACAAGGAGGAGCTAGACATCACACGTTCTTTCTCTTCCATGACACAAGACCGACTACGCTCGCACAGGATGGCGAAATCAAAGAAAAATGGGATTTCGTGTATTGCATCATGCTGTTCAAACTGCCAATGCTGCGCGAACTGTCAAACTCCCCACCAATAACCAATATTTCCATGATTCACTTAAGGTACAAGGACTCTGGCTTTCGTACTTACGTCCGTTTACTTCATCTGTGTCTCTGACGATTTCCACACGACAAAAATGAAACAAAGATGTGAAAAAATACGAAAAACTCGGAGAGCGTTTCTGACTTGTGTCTTACTCTCTTGCAGCCATAGTTAGAAGTGAGCCAGGTTGGCCAACATAGGATCAAAACAACTCAGGCCAACATGGCGCAGCATCTAAAGTTATCCAATCACATGGGCAATATATAATTACAGGAGTAATTGTAACCCGAATTTTAAATATATGCTCAATTTCACTTCTTCGTACGCTGGAAAATCAATAATCTCTTCTCCTGTTGGGAAACTCGGGAATGTTGGCGAACGTGGCGCGAGGTGACGAAACTGCCGGGTAGAATTTGCGGAGCATTTTCTACAAGAAAATCTCCCAGTAAGCATTTCTTTGTCGATTAAACTTCGATATTATTCGTGTGAAATTATTATTTGTTGCGATGGCTATATTACATAGACTGATAAAACAAGATTTTTTTTCTGGTAAAAGATAATATAGGTTTTTTATATATTTTCCCTCTCTTTGTGTAACGATTTCGAAACAAAAATATCCTTTTCATCACGAAATGTATAGAAACTAAGCACTTATAATGATGCTAACAATACTTTTCTCTATTATTCGACATGGCACTGTTTATATCTAACACAAGAGCAATAACAAAATCAGTATGTTAGGTTTATTACTTCAAAAATCGATATTGACATTTTTGATTCTTTATTACTATTAATAAAAACAACAGAAGTAATACCGAGAGTACATTTTCACTAATAGCGATAACAAGGATTTACCATTTACCACAATACCATTATAAAAGAACTATGAGTATTATACTGTGCCCACAGTATACGCGTACTGCTAATGACAAAGTGACTAAATAATAGGAGTACCAAAATCACGAAAATACTAGAATTTAGGAACTAAGGATATGTCAGTTATGATAACAAGAGAATTACAATATATTTAACAGTTATAATTACATGAACATCAGTGGTACTGAAGTATAATTTGTTACGAACACATTTTATATGTAATCATGCTTTAAATTTAGCCATGTCAGTATCTTTCCCCGCAGATTCGCTATCAATCTCTTCACTTCATCAATCATTAGTTTTGTATAAGAATTCAGGGCGTTATTAGTAGTTTCCTTTTACGGAATTCTTACGCCATCGGAACAACGAAACCCTACGGGAACAACACGCCACATCTCGTGGACAGACATGGACTGCCGTTCAATGTCTCGCAGCGTATTAGAACTTGCTGTAAGGGGAGTCTAAAGAACGTGTCGTAGCTTTATGCATGCTTTCAGATAGAACTTGAGTATGGCCCACAGTTCCCAAGGACATGGCAATATGACGTTGCTAACGCGCGACTTTGGCTGGGATGCAAACGACTGATAGCTATGACTGTAAGCGAACACCTGTACATCATATCTTGGAGCGCCATGTGATACAGCCATGCAAGCCCTCTACAATGAGCTACTTGGTAATTTAACTTCAACATGTTTCAGAAGATATAATCACGTTATATCTTAAATTGACAAAGTAATATTACGATACATCTTATGGCCATATATTATTTGTTTAGAGGCTTCTCGCGCCTGTGCACTTAGCCTGGACGGCGAGCAAAGAACAAAACCAGACTCTTTTGATGTCTAAAAATAAACCGCTTTTATTTTTGCTTGCCGACGTATCCTTGTCCCAGGAGCTTCTCATATTCAGTAAGAGCAGTCTCCCTTTGTTTACTTGGAATGATTCTCGGGGCAAACATTCGCCGCATGTTACGGCGATATTAATGTGCTAGCTCATTGGAGTTGGATTGGCTCCGGAGAGTAATTCAATCCCTTCGGTCCTTCAGAATGCGCGATGAGGGATCGGAGGGACTTGATGGCAACAGAGGATCTATTTATGGCTTGGGACGGAGGCTGTTTGTCTTGTCAGCAGGTCAAGAATGATAATGAGGAAACGTCAGCATCGCGATGTTGACGATGAGAGAATTAATGACAGAGCAATTAAGGACAAAATAAGAAGGGGATCAATTAATTGTCTGCTCGTCAACACCGTCTGACATACCAGCTGTCATTCAAAGATAGGAATATTTCTCTGGCTTCTCCCCATTGTGCCGGCGTGGTGCTTAGCGCTGCCAGTGTGCATAATACCGTTGACGTTATTGCTAACCATTAAACAAAAGCACTGAAAATGATGTTGCAAAAGCAAACATGGCTATCATTATCACTGTCACTATATTTATTGTCATCATTATTCCTACTGTTGTGATTGTTATTTCCATCATCATCATGGCCATTATCTTATACATCATTGCTATTATTCTTATTTCCGATATCGATGTCAAATTTATTACCAACGTTCATTTTTGTATGTTATTGTTATTGGTATCATTACTGTTATCATCAGTATTTACTGTCAATATTATGTGTTCTTGTGCTTTATTACTATTACTTTTATGTGCTATCATTATTAATACTATTCTTATTTCATTGCTTGGTATTAAATTACCATTATTATTAGTTTCTTATTGATATAATTAAGTATAGTAATTATATTATTATAATCGATGTCCATTTATCGTATTATGGTCATGGTTATCATCATTAAGAACTTGACTAATACTTGTTACAATTCCGATGTTGATAATGATATCATCATCAGCATCTTTATCCTTTTCATCATGATGACCATCATAATTATCTAATACAATTGTTAATGTTTTGCCGTTTATCTTTTATTGCTATTGCTAATAATGTAGCTATATTAGATAACCTGACAGTCGTCACTCAAAATACAGCTTTCATTTTAACCGTAATGTTTTTTTTCTATTTTTTATCTCTACATTATTTTTAAGTACTCGGTGAACTGGTTTTTAATAAAATTAATAGTTGAAATGTGACCTCGTGTATAACAGGCCTATGGTTACAACGCAATTCACAGGCAACCGGTTTATACTGTGTTGTCGTTGAGAACTGGTTCCATATGGTTGTTCCACTTCTTCACAGTGTGCACGATTCGTATCTTTCCTAAAACCTTCATCAAACGCCACGGATAATAAATAGGACATCAAGTTCCATGTCACAGCACTCACTGACCAGTGGTCTTCAACCTTGGCACCTGAGCGCATGATGGGCGCTGCGCTCGGAAAATGATCATTAGCATGGGAAGCCACATACCCTTCTTGGTGTCGGGGTCCTTTCGAATCAACTCCAACTCTAAATATCTACTAACGAAAGCTCAAAGCAAAAGAGCTGGTTTTGCCTAGGGAGGGTCTCGGCGACATTCTTTGCATAACTCTCCCCTTTTAGGTCCTATAAAGTCAGTTCTTACATCCGTGTTATTTGATGCAATGGTTTATCCACGAGCTTTTCAGTGAACTTTCATTGCTAATCCTTTGTCCATGTTATATATTTGCGGCAGCTAATACCTCTGGATCTTCCATTGGAACTGGTTTTACCAGTCGGAGCAGCATCAGCTGACAAGTTGATGCTCGTGTTCATATACCCCACTTTAAGTCCTCGGGGATGTCGCGTAACATGAAGTCTATTCGTCGAAAATGAATGAAAGGGTCACCAAATACATGTAGTATATTGGAAAACAATATTTGTCTGATCCATCAGTATCTTTAATCTGGACCAAAATTTGGCTTGCTGTAAATAATCCCAGAGAGAAAGGAAGTTGCTTCCTTACGAAGGGCAGCCCTGCTTTTCCTGAAACATCACCAAATAATTATTGACTGTTTTCACTCATGGAACTGTAATACTACATCTACGTAATTCACCCAACAACAGATTGATTGGTAATAGCGTGATTGGTAATCACGCTATTACCAATCAAAATCAAATCAAGTATTGCTTTTGAATTGTTGATCCATTTCATTACCCTAATTTCTTCAGGTATTAAAAAGTGGCCAATATTCATGTAGCACATTGGTCAAGTCTTCCCCCCAAAATATATTCAAGCAAACAGTAGTGATACATTATTTCCACAGTAAATACCAATGGTTCAGTAATAACCGATGTTTTCGCTAAATATGAATACCTCTGTACACGTAGTTCAAATAGAGTACCTTAGTTTCTTGGCTCAACTTATATAGAAATGATCTGTAACCTTGGGAACACACAAGGAACATGTTTGCTCTTACTTCAAAACTGTCTAAGAGTACATTGACAAAATTATTTACAAAATGTATTATAGTTGTTCAGGCTTTTTAGATGTGATGAATTATTGTGATCTTTCCTTATTAACAGGCTCACCATGTATTGTTTCTTCCCAGCATTCCGTTCCCTTCTAGAATCCGGAGATGGGTCCTAGACAGGCCACCTACGTCCTACGGTTTCACTACCATCCTGTGAAGCTAATTCCCAAAGACATCAGGCTCCGTGCTTCAGATATGCCATTGTGAAAATATCCTCACAGTCCAACCATGGTGTGGCTAGAAAAGGGAAATGGTTCATCCCTATTTTGTACTCAAGTGTCAGTGATTGGGTCATTGTCCTTTAAATAGCCTGACTTTAACACCCAACCTCCAGGATCCTTGGTACGTCGATACTGAAGATGTGGTCTAAATGTGTCCTCGTCATCTTCTGCAACCACTGGATCATTACGTGTGGGTGGCACTTTCTGTACGCCGACACTCGGAGCCAGAGTATTTTGTAAATAATCTATATTATTTTTTCGTTCAGTGTGTTTCACATTATTCCTCTCACTTTTAAATGTATACCAGTTGTTTGCTGCTCTATTTGGTACATAGAACTAGAAAGAAGTATGCGATGTTGCCTTACCGTTGAATCGCTATGACGGTACCGCCGCAGCGCAATCGGACTGCATTTCACCCAGTGCTGGTTTCCGCGTCTGTGTTCCAGAGCAGGACAACGTTCATGCCAGGAAGGACAACTAATCTTCAAGGGTAAGATATCACCTCTGGTTAAAAATTCCGTTTAATACAGATTGCTATAATTTTGCTATAATTGTGTTACAACAGTTTGCTGGACACATAACTCGTCATCCAAGACAAAAAAAAAAAAGCATTGGCGGAATATTTCTTCTGTATTCCTGCCAACCATCGCTGAACCCATTCGCTTTTGACGGATTTTGTTTATCCTCCGTTCGCTTCACGCAGGTATCACCCATTGGACCGAAA